AATTTTCCAATTGTTTCAGTAAAATTTTCTGGTGTGTGATATTAATAATAGTGTTCAAAAATTTACACATTAACAGTTTGGAGGTGGGTATTGGGGAATGTTGTTAGTTGCTGACCAGTCCCTTCTGACTGAAAATTGGAATTAAATTCTTTCTAAAACCTCTGCAGAATATTTCTGAAGCACTAAGATTTTCCTCAAATTCTTTCTCAGTATACCATTTCAAAGTTATCTTTGTTGTTCTGGAGTGCAAATCTAATTACCTTAAAGTGCAAAATATAAACTACATTTGTATCCAGACACTACCTAGAATTAGGAGATATGGAGCACATTTCTACCATGTGGATGAATCTAGATCTACATCTTCAGAGAGCATGCACTCCACTACTGAGTGAGTCAGAATTTGGGTCTCCCAATATAAGCTTCACCTCAGCATTTAAGAATGGAGTGATTAAAAAATGGGATTAATGAAGACACCTAACCTTGTTGGGTTGATATTTAGCTATTAGGTTAACTTTGTTACAAAAGATATAATTATATGCCAGTCACTGTGGTAAGCAAATTATCTCATTTAAATCTAACAGTATCTTCTGAAGGTGGTAATCCTTCTTTCCCTTTATAGTTTAGGATATCAAGATACTGAGAGGCTAAAGCAACTTGCCCACAGTCAAAGACGAGGTTGGTCGTTTGAATCCACCAAGAATTGCTGTGGAATAAAGGTCTAGCAATCTGCTTCTGTAAACATCCCAGCCAAGAAAACCTTATGGAGTTGTTCCACACTGTAACTCATGGTGCTGATAACTCCATAATTTGGAGTCAACTCAGTGGCAATGTGTTGTTTTTAATCTATGTGTACATGTCACCCGAGAATTTTTATGTATCCAAGAGAACCATATTTATCTTAGATCTTTTGATGTACATAAGTTATATAGAGCATAAGTAAAACAGAAATACACTTTTACTTAAAAACTTCTAAATTGTGAATTTTCATTGGACAAGAAAACAGTAAAAATGAGAGCGCAAATAGCCTATTACCAATGGATGGCAACAGCAAATGTACTTAGGATCTACAGACATGGGATTAGTTTTTGACTCTAACATATATATAAGTTGAGGGTTTTTGTCACACATATAAGAATTCACTAAAGACAATTTCTTTGAGAAATGTCAATGTACTGTACCAAGAAAAAACACCCAGCTGAAACTGTTTTGTGTGGAATAAGATGAACAGCTCCTATTAATGCTAATTGAAATGCTCATATCCACACATACCATGCATAAAATTTACTTCTGCACTTATTCTTTCCACCTCTAAATTACAGTAAGACCATGCCAAAGTCCTAGCTTTTTAATTTGATCATTCATGCATAAAAAATGATACTTTTTTGCAATTATATTAATAAATTTAATACAGGTGAAATCTCACTACTTTCAAAACAGAAAAAGCCTTCATTATCGTTATTTTATATAAAAAAAGAAAACAACTGAATCTCCTGGATTAAGTTCCTAATTTGTTTAATAAGTGAACTTTTTATCATCTCTCAATGTCTGCTGTATTTTATTTCATTTAACCAATATGGAAACTGACACGTGGGCAAAATGCTTCATGTTTTAACTCCCATAAAAAAAAAATGACATAAAATCAAATGAGTGCTATAATTTACTTTATATACACAATTAAAATGATTCTCTCATTTTGAATGTGTGTGAGTGTGTGTATTAAATTTATTGATCTATGTTAGAAACATTTTTAAGAAGGTCTCTAAACACATGGAAATAGAGTACCTTCTTACTGTTTAAAGATAATTTGTAAAACTGAGCTAAAAATTTGCTGTATGTCAACAAGTGAAAACCTGGTATTAATTATAACCTATCTATTGTCTAAACAGAAAAGGTGTACCATCTTTTCAATAAACAGAAGTTGAAATATTTTAATGCCACTTCACAGATTAACCCCAAAACATGGTGAGGTATTATTTGTTATTGCTTTTGAGGCAATGATAAATTACTTCACATTCCAATTAAGAGGCAAAAAAGGCTAAGGATCATTTATACAAATAATTTTCACTGTCAAAATATATATCACAGCTAGGAAAGTAGTATCTACCTAGAATAATCTATATGATTGCTTCTTGTTCAGGTTTTCAATTGAAGGGCATATTGGGATGAAAATTCTTACCTTAACAGAGGTAAACCAGATATTGCACTTGGTCTAGGAAATATTTTGAAGACTTAGTGAAGATATTGCTATTGCATATTTAAGCTTTTCCCTCCATAAAAGCCAATTCAGCATGACATCAGTATTGTTGGCCATGGAAAAATATTGTTGTCACTTTTATTGAGACCTCTCAGGGATTAAAGAAAATGACAACTAATTTGTCATTCTATCAGTATAATTGGAAAGCCATTCATACATTCATTCTAAAAAGGTTATTATGTATTTACTATAAATATACAAGATATTACATTAGTACGTGAGAAAGCAGAAATTAGAGTTGGGTAAAAATATAGTAAATAAAAAGCTAGCTAGGTCAAGGTCATTTGACATAAAGATTTTAGGATGTAGTTGGGTAAAAAAAATGTATGTATAATGAACTAAGATAGCAGGATGACATAATAGTAGTCATGGTAAGAAGCACATTAACATGCAAATACTAAATGATAAAAATAACTTTCGCATTGCTATATTGCTAGCAAAATGTAGACACAATATTTAATTTTCTGGGAGCTCTGGTAGCATAGTGCCTAAGGCACTTGACTGCTAACCAGAAGGCTAGCAGTTAAAACCCACCAGCCACTCCTCGAAAGGAAGATGGGGCAATCTACTTCCATAGAGATACTGCCTCGGAAACCCAAGGAGGGCTCGCTATGAGTCAGGGCCGACTCGACGGCACATAACAACACACAACAACAACAATTTAATTTTCTGGGAACTCTGGTGGTGTAGTGCCTAAGGCATCTGACTGCTAACCAGAAATCTGGTGGTTCAAACCCACCAGCCACTCCTTGGAAGGAAGGTTGGGCAATCTGCTTCCATAGTGATACTGCCTCTGAAAACCAATGATGGTTGCTATGAGTCAGATCTGACTCAATGGGAGTAAGTTTTATTTAATTTTCCACTATAATTTACCTTTAAAAATAGTTTTCGTGCTGGCTAAAATAATTTGAAATTTTCAGCACCATTTTCAGTTGGCAAAGTGGGGAAGCACACACAATTCACATAACAGTAAAAGGAAATAATGTGTCCTGGAGAGGGAAGTTCTAACTCTTCTGGAGAATTGAAATAAAACCATTATCTCAAGTTTACTCAAAACCTGTTTGCATTGTCTTTGTTGTAACAAGTAAAACACATTCTTTTTCTTGTATTTATCAGTTAGATATATATATATATATGTCAATTAGGTATACTCAAACATGTGTACATTCAATTGTACAAAATTTCCAATTGGAGTGGTCATTTATTATGCTCTTTGTGAGTTGAATAAGTGGTGCAGGGCACCTGAACCATTATACCAATCTTAACCTCTGGCAATTTTGGAGTTGAGAGCACTTCTGAGGGTGTTTCACAATTAATTAGGTAGGATGATATACTTTAGTGAAGGTCTTGTGTACCTCACTACACAAAGAAATAACTAGCTGATAATTTAAAGGCTCTTCAAAGAAGAACTAAATAGAGGTGCATAAGAGACACAAACAATAAAGATAAACACTTTTATATACACAATACTGTATTATCAGTCACAAAAAACATTAATCTACAGGTAGATACATAGATATGCTGAATGACCAGGTATATCTAGGCAAAAGGGAATATACTCATGACCATATATAAAGTTGGCAGATGATATTTATACATATGTATTTGTATGTGCTATAAGAATGTCTATATAAATAGAACTAACAGATAACAAAGTTATGATAACTTCTTAACCATAGTCAACCACCCTAAGGGAGCAAGCTGTTGTGTTTATGGGCTTGGTACCATGGTCATGAGGGAGTCAAGTTCAACTGGCATAACGTTCTACACAAATACATGGTTCTACAAACTACTTTGGTAAATAGTAACTGGGGTCTTAAAGGCTTGCAAGCTGCCACCTAGATGCAACTCTTGGTCTCTCCTTATCTGTAGGAAAGAGGAATGAAAAAAACCAAGTATCAATGAAAACAATTAGTCCAAGAGACCAGTGGACCATTAGAACTTCAGCCTCTATGAACCTGAGATCAGAAGAACTAGATGGTACCCAGCTACCAATGTCAGCCACTCAGAAAGGGATCAAAATTGGAGACCCTGGATTGAGAGGGAGGAAAAATGTGGAATAAAATTCAAAAACACAAAACTGATCAAAATCATTGGTCTGATAGAGACTGGTGACATCCCCAGGACTATGGCCCCATGTTATCCTTTGGGCCTGGAACTGGACTCAATTCTGTGGATTAGCTCTCAAACAGTAAAAGGACCTATGATCAGAACACCTACGCCTTAGATCAATCAACTGTGAGAGCATAAGGGTAGCATTTACATAGGTAGAAAATTGGACAGACAGGAATGCATTGTTGTTGTTGTTATGTGCTATCGAGTCAGCCCTGACTCATAGAGACCCCTCCTTGGGTTTTTGAGGCAGTATCACTAAGGAAGTAGATTGCCCAACCTTCCTTCTGAGCAGTGACTGGTGGGTTTGAACCACCAGCCTTCTTTCTGGTTAGCAGTGAAGTGCCTTAGGCACTATGCTACCAGAGCTCTCACAGAAATGCATAGATTAAAGAAAAAAAAAAAAAAAAATGAAGAACTAAAGATTGGAAACTAACTGTATGAAGGAGAAAGAATCATTTGCTTATATTTCTATTGTTTTTACAGCTAAGAGTGATTAACAGCAATCATTTTAGTTGAAAAGATATACAAGCCAGACTTACAACAGGATAAATCTAATCAAATTGTACAATATAGTTATTGAGAATAAACTATCAATATTTCCCTCGACAGTACTGTCAAGGATTAAACTTACCTGATCTACTATCCAGAGGCCCAAAGTCCAACGAATACTTCACAACATGGTAGTTGTTCCACACATAAAGTAGGTTGTCCCTGGGGTTGTAATCCACTGCTGCGATGTACTGGTATGAGTTGGGAAAGGGTACATCCACCAAACTATCCTTACTCTGGTCGGTGTTGTAAATATAGTCAATCTTATTCCCTGTGGCCTCATTGTCATCATCCTCATATACAGATTTGACCACATACAAAATCCCACAAATCATAAATGCGTTGGAAGCTGACCGTTTATCATAGGCAGTATCCCATGTCCCTTCGATCCGTAGGGTATACGGGTTCAGTTGGCTAATGACAATTTTACCATTGTTTTGTTCTGTTGCATAGATTACCCATAGGCCGTTCTCATCCACCGCCAGGTCTATGTCAGATTTGCCTCCCCATCGGTAAGGTGAGGTATCATGATAATTGGCATTTGCTATGATGGCCTCCCCACTCTTTATCCTAGTCCGCAAATCAAACTTTACTATGTTCCTGGTGCGTTCTTTGTTGAAGAACAAAGCTCCATCATAGACTACAAATCCTGTGCCATCCACCCTGTGAGGGAGCTTGTAGGTTGTTGTTGGTCTTCCAGCAATGAAGTCATCCTTGGATGAGTACTCTGTCAGGGTATCCGTTCTGTAGGGGGTCCAGGGCATATAATAAATCTTGTCAGAAGCCTGTAGAGGGTCTTTGCACCATGCCCCAGATTGGTGGTCAGACTCAAACAAGTGTTCACTCTGGTACACTCCTTTTAGTAGTCCAGGGCAAAGAAAAACTGTTGGAAGGGGAAGAGTTAAAATGATAAATATATTAGTTTTAATATTTTGTGATATATTTTTATATTTTCACCAAATGGAATGCAACTCTAACAAGTGATACCCATCACTAACTAGTTATTTTGCTGCATTCTTCTGAGAACATAAAGTCTTCACTCACATTAATTTTATCTTTCTTTTAATAATCATTTTGTTTTCATTTGCTGATAGAATTTGGTCTTTTTATGATTAACTGTTTTTTTGTGGTTTATACCTTTTAAATATGTGTTGCTATACATTTTGGATATATATATTCAGAGGTAATATATATCTATGTCTTCTATAGACATATACCAAAGAAAACTGCTCATACACAATGTCTTTTTTTTAATTAATTCACTGAATAATATATCTTACTTAGAAATCAAAAAATAAAAAGTTTCCATTCCAATGAAATTAGCTATTCAATTGTTATCATTAAGAAACAGATGGAAATCCTGTAGCAATTAAAAAAAAAAAAAAAAAAGCCCTGTACTACCAGCCACTGAATCTACTAGCAGTAACACTCTCAAAGCTCCTATAGCACACACAGAGCATGCAATCCACACAATTAAAAATGAGCGATGGATGGATACTGGAAGGGAAAAAGAGAAAGGAAGAAAAGAAAGGAAAGAAGGAAAAAGGAAAGAAGAAAAAGTGAAAGGTTACAGAGAGGAACCCAAGATCTAGATTTTAATCAGTTAAAAATGTCCTGTTAAATACAGTAGTATTGGAACTTAAAAACATGTATCTTTTACTGTTACATGAGAAGAGCATTAAAAAATAAAACAAAAAACACAAGATTACTTGCTATAATATTTTGCTGCTCAAACTTCAGAATGAAAGTGGGCAGGAATCATCTGGTTCATTTTATTTTTAGTAAGCCTGAAGAGCATAGCATGTAAGGGTGGTGGGAGAGCACACATGGCTGATTCGTCTGTAATGGAGCAACTAAAAAGCAGTGTCTCCCAAAGGGTGGTCTTTGAAGCAACTGTTTCAAATGAGATAGTTAGAGGTGTTACACTGGGGGTGAGGGGAGTTCCACAGTCACATGTGTTTCAGAAACATCATATTAAATGGAATCATGGCAGAGATTCTAATAGCTAATGCACATTATTGAATTTTCAAGGAACAAGTGGGAGACTGAACAAATTTTACTAATTTGATCATGGAACCCTTTTTCTACAGAGCCTTTTTGTACTGCAGTGCTCCAATTAACCTGCTAAGGGAAGGAGATATTATCTAAAATGTTTTCCAAAGCAAACATGCTAAAAAAAAAAAAAAATCATGCAGTCCACTTTTATATTTAAAATGAGTAAAGTGCATCAGGTAGAGAAATTTAAAAAACCACAAGGGGTCTGGATGTTGACCCATATTTTAATGACTATAGGATTATACTCTCAATATTAGTGATTAGCTCTTTAATGGCAATTCTAAACACAGATCTAAAAGGAAAACAAAATAAGATGAAATTCTGCTAGATTTTGGAAGTTATTAAAAAAGAATATCAATTTTTGAATTAAAATGTTTTGATTTTAGACACATAGAAAGTTTGGGCAAGGTGCTGACTGCCAAAATGTTCATAGCAAAGAAAAAGGGTGAGCATCAGTACATAATCAACAATAACACTGATGATTACAATAATTTCTCAATATACTTTAGTATGATTGATAGAATTGTGAAGGACAGGTACCAATAATACTGTTGTCAAAATCTATATAATATTTATGATAAAGTTAATTTATTTTAGGGTATTTCAGAAAACTGTCTTCTCCCTTGCCCTCAGTACTTAACAAATTAAAGGAACATAGGAAACTAAGGCAGAGCTATATGGAAACTTATCTAGTATATAAATTAAAACAAATAAAAACAATTACTATCCATCGCCATCTACTGGATTTTAATGACTTATCTAAAACTAATGAGGAATAAAAATAAACTGTAAAAATTAGACACTATTAAGCTGTTTCATGATAAAAGGATCAAATCAGGACTGGTCAGATAAGAGCGTAAAGTGAAGTTGAGCAGCAGTAATAAATAAATTTTCATAAAATAGATAAGAATTAATGACAAAATTATTTCAGCTAAATGTTAAACTGTTAAATAACTTAGCCTATAAACAGTATATAATTTATGAAAGGTATTTAATTACCTTTTTGTTCCACTTCTATTGGAGAGAGAGAAGTAAAGAGAGAAAGGAGAAAAGAGAATAGATTAATGGTACGGTCTTGGCCAAGCACTTGTTATTCACCTCTTCCAAACTGAAAGTAAATAATATTTTATTTCACTCATACTTATCTTTTTGAATACTATGTTTATAAAGCACCCATTCCCATAATACAATTGTTTTTTAAAAAACAACCATATTGTAAGTTTTACAATATAGTACAAACATAGAAAAAATGAGGGAAAAATTAATAAATCTAAGATTAAATAAGAACACAATTCCAAAGTATAAGCATAGGAAATACTATATTAATAATAAGAACACCAATATTTCCATTTGAAGGGGAGATCAGTAATTATACACAGAAAGCTTTCAAATAGTTTGGCATATCTCAGTTATGGAACAGTATAGTTTACACCACTATCTAACAGAGTAGTCTTGCTTTTTAACCATCTCAAAAACTTCTCTCTCAAGAATTTCCACAGCTTGCCAGTCTTGTGGTGGAGCTCTGGTGGTGCACTGTATAAGGCATTTGGCTGCTAACCAGAAGGTCAGTGGTTCCAAACCACCAGCTGTTCTGTTGAAGGAAGATAGGGCTATCCGCTTCCCTGAAGATTTACAGCCTTATGAGACATGCATTTTATGAGACTCTGGTAGTGTAGTGCCTAAGGCACTTGACTGCTAACCAGAAGGCTGGTGGTTCAAACCCACCAGCCACTCCTCAGAAGGAAGATGGGGCAATCTACTTCTGTACTGATACTGCCTTGGAAACCCAAGGAGGGGTCGCTATGAGTCAGGTCCGACTCCACGGCACATAATAACAACAACCTATTAAGAAGGAATGTTCTTAATCTAATAAATGGATTTTGAATCCTTATTGAAAAGACCCTCTCCTTCTTACCCATCAATATTTTATATCACTATGGCAAAGGACTGTCATTAAAAAACTCTGTTGTCAGATGGTTCATGTCAATAATGAGCCAGAATCTCTGGCTTTTTTTGAAATTCTTGACTAAGTCTTTCAATATTTTCTTGTGAAAGTAAATTGAGATCCCCAAACATATTATGTTTATGTATTTCTCAAATTATATTCTCAGAAGAGCTCTGGTGACATAGTGCCTAAGTCATTTGACAGATAACCAGAAGGCTGGCAGTTCAAACCCAACAGCTGCTCCTAGGAAGAAAGTTTGGGTGATCTACTTCCATAGTGATACCACCTCAGAAACCCAAGGAGGGGTCACTATGAGTTGGGTCCAACTCGAGGGCAGTGAGTTTTTTGAGTTATATTCTGAAGAGTTAGCTTATTTTCTTTTTTTAATGAGTATTATTTTTAAGGTACTGATCGACACACAAAAAAAGTCCAAGTCATTGCTGGGAAATTGTAGTTATTCACAAAATACATCAAGACATTACTCCCATGGCTTACCAATTTTTTTTTTACAAAAATCTCATCAGAGAAAATTTGTCTAGATCTCAATGAGAAAAAAAAAAGGATGAGTCAGAAACAATAATGAAAGCTTAAAAATCAGATTTACAAGTGATGCAAAACTAAGGCAATCAGAATGAAAGGGATGAACTGATATATGCACAATAAATTAAATACTCTATAAGAACATTTCAAAAATAGACAAGACGGATATATTGTGGTGGGCAATTACATGTGTGTACTTTAACCTAAGCTCATATGTCTTCAATTATTAGAAAAATCAATCTCATTTTTTTCCATTGATTTAAAAATCTTCATATTACCTGTGTTAAAACAAAAAAAAAGCTATGTCTAGAAATTGCAAATGGATATCTTAGATTTCTCATCTCACTAACTTTTCACATCAAATTTTTAACAGATTTCTAGGAATCTTTTCTAAGCTCTACTATACTGATGTAACTTATCATCATCCTCATTTAATCTTTATCAGGTTAACTGCAGTGCTCACTGGAGTATGTGTCTCAAAATAGGTCAGTTAAAAGCTTTACCTAAGATATGCACTTCCTATTATGACTAGAATACCAACATATGTGTGCTACACTGACAACTAAAAGAAACATAGCAAAGACTCTTCATTCATTATTGACTTTAAAAAAAACCCAAACTATTATTTAATCAATAGTCTCAATAGTTTGGACTTGAGGCCCATTACAATGGAAGTAGAGGTTGGTGATGGAAAGTCACAGTAAACATGACATTTTTCAACTGCTAATCTACAAATAAATTTCTAGAACTGCATTAGTCACTTGAAATAAATCTAGATATATATCCTTTTTAGAATTATATATGGAAACATTTATATTCTAAAACATAAAACACACACTTTTTCTTCAGTCATATTTCACAGAGAACACTTTGACAGTTCTATATCTGAAGCAAAGATCCTAAATTCTTCTTTGTGAGTGTCACATCTTTCTTCAACAAATGCTAAAGAACTTACTGGAAAAAATAATTATATATGATAAAGAACAGTAATGATAAGGTATACAGCTCCTGTAAACACTAACTTACAGTTTTAGTGGACATTTTCATATTCAAAGGGTTTTACCTCTATTTTCTCATTTATTATACATGAAACTTGGTTTTTAATTCTCTGGGCCTTGTCTATTTTCAGAGAAGTTGGCATAAGCTGTAGTGTAAGCAAACCTTGCCTTTTAATTGCTTGTTGGTTACTAAAAATTAAGATTTATTAGACAACTCTGCTTTGGAGAACATTATCACGGTCTTGCCTATGTCATGACCACTATAGCTTATGTTTCATTGACATTTCCCCTGCTATCTGACAGTAGAGCTTTTCTATGAAACCTTTTGTAAATTGAAATGGCATATAGTGAAGAAGCAATCACCATTAATTTATATTGGAAATATTTTGAGTTCCCTGACTCAAAAAACAACCTATTGTGTCATGCCAAATAACACATAAAACCTAACACAAATATAAAGTGTTCACAGACACAGTTCAAAACTATTGTAGGTTGATGCTGAGTGTAGTTTCCGGGGAAGGAGCTTGGAGCCACCAGTCTCACGGCTCTGGGTGAGCACTGTCTTTTTAAAGGCTCACTGTAAAATAAACACTGAAGTGAACACTAGTTTTACTTTGTAAAAGTGAAAAACCTCTTCAGATTTTTTTCTGTTAGCGAAAATTGGTACTAATGAAGAGCCTTAGTAAAAGTTAAGTGACTTAAAGCAAACTTTGGAAAAGCAGAGGATACCTGTATTTGCTATTTTCAAAACTGAGGTAAAACAACCCTGTAATTTAAGTTGAAACAAGCACACACAAATCATAATCTCAAAATGAAAACTGGAAAGGCAAACACAAATTTTCACTGAAAAGCTTAGTACCATTCATGATTGACCAGTCACTGTGTTTCACCTTATTTTGATTCTGGAAGCTTCCCTCCCTAAAACCCTACAACAACAAAAATGAAATGAACAGCTTTGCGTAGACTTATTAACAACCTGTGATTATGCAGATGACACAACTTTGCTTACTGAAAGTAAACAAGATTTGTAGCACTTACTGATAAAGATCAAAGACTACAGCCTTCAGTATGGATCATACCTTAACATAAAGAAAACAAAAATCCTCACAACTAGACCAATAAGCAACATTGTAACAAATGGTAAAAGGCTGCAGTTGACAAGGATTTCATTTTCTTTGGATCCCAAGTGAACATCTGTGGACACTTCAGTCAAGAAATTAAACAACTTATTGCAGTGGACAAATCTGCTGCAAAAGACCTCTTTGATGTTTAAGAGCAAAGGTGCCATTTTGAAGACTGCCTGTACCATGGACTGCTAGAAGAACAAAAAAAATCTCTCTTGGACGATGTACAGCAGAATTCCCCTCAAAAGCAAGAATGGCCAGACTTGTCTCTTGTACTTTGATCACGCTATCAGAAAGGACCTGTTCCTGGAGAAGGATGTCATGCTTGGTAAAGTAGAGGGTCAGCAAAAAGGGAAGACCCTCAATGAGATGGACTAACACAGTGGGTGCAGGAATGGGCTCAAGTATGGCATTGATTGTGAGGATGGCACAAAACTGTGCAGTATTTTGTTCTGTCTTATGTAGGGTCACTATGAGTTAAAATTTACTCGATGGCACCAAACAACAACATGCGTGAAGAAGCATGTTCACCACTATATCCTTCCTAACCACACAGTGCCTGGACATAATAAAACCAAACCAAAACCCATTACCACTGATTTTGATTCCTCCTCATAGTGACCCTATAGGACAGAGTATAACTACCCCATAGGGTTTCCAACGCTGTAAATTTTTACAGAAGTAGACTGTCTTATCTTTCCCCAGCAGAGTAGGCTGGTGGGTTTGAACCATACCTTTTTGTCCGCAGCTGAATGCTTTAACCATTGTACCACCTGAGCCCCTTTGACATATAATAAGTAGTCAGAAATAGCTGTTGAATTATACATAATTGAACTGAAAGTGAAGATGTCTGTTTCTTGATATTTTAAGCATGTAGAATAAAGGAAAAGTTGTGAAACAGAAGCTGTATTTATTATATAAAAAAATCACACCATTATGCACATAGGTCTTTGACAAAGTTTAACGGGTGAGGAGGAAAGTAAAATTTATAAGCAATTTGTATCTCTGGCTCATGAGATGTAACACTGGGGGAAAGGGAAAATAATATATAGGGCTGTTCTTGAGGGTTATATTGGCAAAATAAATTATCATTATAAAACTGCCTGTGATGAGCTAAAAACATAGGTTTAAACTACTCCCTTCTTTGTAATGAAACCATAAATGAATGAACTATATGATGACAATTGTGCTAGGCATTCCTCAGGCCTTACTATGTTGTATCATTTATAGGCTTCCCTGTCTGGTCCAATATCCTGAATTCTGGCATTATTAAATCTTTCATTGTTCATTTCCAGACATCTTTGGAACCAGTGTCTCTCCTTTCTCTCTTCACTTTTATTTCCCAAACTACTTTTGTTGTCCATTCGGCATCTATAAATATGCTTATATATTTCCCTAATGTGATAC